CGCGAGCGGACTCGGTTAACAGCGCGGTGCTGGTGAAGCCGATAAGTGCTTCGGTGTCAATAAATAACCCAACAACCACTTGAATGTGATAGCTGAACCTGTTCGACAGAGCGTTCCAAAATGAATCGACATAAGAGATCCCCGACGGGGAGAAAACGAGACTTAAGAAGCTGAGTAGTATCTTCAGTGTCCATTGCTATTACCTTACTTCCAAGGTATCTACGAGTTCGGAACCCTAGCACTCTAACTAAATCTCTTGCCCACTCGTCGTAGATTTCAGTCAACTGTAAGCATCTTTTCAAATGAATTCTTACACGAGTGCAAGCCTGTTTTGAAGAGAATTTGGCAGTCATCACGATCCCCCACCTAGGGTATCACGGTCTAATGTATGACATCCTCCAAATTGTGAGTGAACCTGCAGCTACCTGTGGCAATTGTGCCAGTAATTCGCCACTCCCAAAGTTTCGCGGGAATTTCTCGAAAAAAAATGTTCTAAATCTTCCCAAAAAATATCTCCCGACTCCAATTAGGTCTGAGCCACTGTGGATTTTGCCAAATACGGCTCCCATAGCAGAGCGCGTAAGGCAATTTGGACATTCAGGCAAGCATATATTTGCCATTTTTGCCACAAGCTCAAGAAACCTTCTTCCGCGCGAGAAGAACATTTGGCCTAGCAATTCCCTCCTTATATTTTTTGATATATTTCCAATAGATTTTCACATCAATAAAGTATGGAAATATTAAATCGAAACTAGAAAAGAAGGAAACCTCGCCCGTGAGAATTTGATTATTTTTAAGATGTTATTCTACGTGCAATTTAAGAATGTAAGAAGTATGAACACTCGCCATGTGTTTGCACAATTTCATTATAGAAAACTCCAACACTTAAGCCTGCAGGATAAGGGCAGCCGTTGGTAATCTTCCATACCATTTACCTACAAGCCATCGTGCAACGTGACTGTAGGCAAATCAAGACATCGCATTAATCGGCGATGTGTTGCATCGACTCTTCAAATCATTCGCTTCACTTACTCCAATTGCCGTTAAATGCCTGTGAAACCAGCGAAGACTAATAACAAAGAACTAAAAAAGGTCATCAGAAGCTTCTTCCTGCCTTCAAATAGAACACATCATCACATCAAGTAGTACCAAGGGGTCCCCTTGAGCCCCACCTTCACCGGTGATTTTGTAGGTAGAAAAGATCCTTCCACATCCTTTATTCCACTAGAAACATATCCTTAAGCTTACGTTACCTTTATCCGAAACGCGGAAAATTCATCTTGACAACAGAAAACAGTCCCTACTGCTTCACGCAACAACCTAAGCCTGCAGTAATAAAGTCGTTTTTCTGAGCTGTTATGACGACTCTGACTAAAGAGCACTTCTCCGAGAGCTGTTTTTTGTTCAGTTTCCCGACGCGAAAGTGAGCATAGCGCTTCAAATCTGCCCTCTTTGCTAGCCTTGATGTGGAATGGCTCGCAATAGCAGCCACCTGACAGATAGGTTAATGTCGTAATTCCGCGAAACGAGAAATTACGGTCGATAACTGCACGTTAGGAACAGTGTATTGTCTCATTATCACACTCTATAAAACTGAAATCGATCGCTGGAGAGGATTACGACCTGTGTGTGAGAGGAGAAACCTCGTTATTGCATGACAATGGCCTCAGTATCATGAGCCTATCTGTCCAGTGTCTCTTTCTCTCGCATTCGACAGCCTACCTGAGACTCTGGCCCCTCTCAAAAACGAAGACGATCAGAAACAACAGCATTTACTCAATATCATGTCGGCCAATGTGCGGCGATCGCGTCGGCCTAAGGACGCGTTGGCTGACCATAAAAGACGTCTTATAATGGAACCGTAGCCAAACGGAGAAAAAAACGCTCTATAATACGAATAATCGCATGCCAATGCACGGTAACGCAAGAGAATGAGAATATGCGAATAGCCACCAAGGCGCGCGTTTCACGCCTTTGAATACCGTTCTTCTTCTTTGCATATTAAGGGAAACGATGGCTTGCCATCATTATTCGGACCAGAAGGCCTTCAAAAACTTAAACCACCCCTTTCGAACCCTCTATGAAAGAACCACAGGATAGCTCCAGATCACGTTACCTACTCCGTACTCAAATGACGCTGAAAACAATGCGATGACGCAAAACGCGCAATAGCGACCTCCGGCCGCGTCCAAATCCCACTTTAATGCTCTGCTGGCCGTGCTCTCACTTACGCCAAGCAACGAGGAGGTGAACCGCTTTTATTGGTTATATGGCGTCCAAATCGAGTCAAAAACTCTAGCGACACCCCCTCTCTTCAGTCATCGCAAAGCAAAGGTCGTCATGAACGAGACGAGGATTGCCATCGGTGGCCGAATGACCATGAACGCGTTGACTCTTTTTGAAGGTGATTTACTCATCTTCTCGTTCGTTCGACGTCCTTAAACAATCCTACGTGTAATCGGCGCCGAAATCTACCGTCGTTCACTGTAATTCGAAGTTACTTTACCAACAAGGCCGCAATTCGGGCCGGTTGTAACAAATCTAGTCTCCTCCTATTTGGTCACAGAAATGGCTTGAAAATATAACAGTGGAACCAGATCAGCAATTTAACTAATGTTATCACCTATAATTACCACGTGCGAATCACGTATCACAGCTTTAACACACCCGGTCCAAAACTTGCAATGAAACCTTTGTAAAAAAAATTCTAGAAAAGAAATCTCAGTGAACTTGATGTTAAGCTGAAGGAATATGACCAATGGAAATAAAAAGGCAGCAAAAAATACCTCAGCATCACAGATTTTACCCGAAACCACTCTCCATGTATGGTTCAAAAAGAACTTATTGAAAGCGGAAGTTGAGGAAAATGAGAAATTATTCAATCGTAAACCCTCAGTATCAGGGTCTCAGGACATCTGTCAACCGTGAGCCTTGGCGGTTCAGCGTTTTGTAGTGATGTCTGGGAGCTCTCACAAGTGCACACTATCACAGCATCTCCTCTTTCTTTATCTTCTTCAAAAGGCTTAGTCCCAATAAGACACAAAGTGTGTGCTTTTCCAGCTACGCTCTCACCCTTTGGTTGACAGAAGCCTTGTAACCCAGTATCAATCTCTTCAACTGAAACAAGAAAACGGTTGATTGCAGCAAATCCAAAAGCAAACTGCAGTGTAGAACTATACTATTGCTGATTTGGAAGCATTAAGAGATAACGGCGGCTAGATTCATCATTTCCGAAAGATTACTGAGGCTCCTTCTGAGATTCTTCGTATAACCTGGACCAACCGCAGGCTGCAGACCCCTTCATGTCTTTCTTAATTCTCAGACCTATGCATGTATCAGCTTGAGAAAACAACGCAATTTTCAAGGGGATATTTGGGAGGCTCCAAGTCTTTTTTCGGAATACGTAAAAGCCATACTGCTCTTAAAAACACTTTCAAGCAGTTTTCATTCGAATATAGACTTCATCAAGTAGTCTGTAAAACCCACCGAACCCCCCAGGTTTCTCAATTCTTGAGAAGATAAGACGACTGAAGCCTTTTCACTGAAAAACATGAAAGAAATCAATTCACACCCGTGATTTTTTCGCTGCATCTTCGTGTGTCTTTAGATCTTTGTGGGGATAAGAGCGACACGCCTAGACAGGTGCCGGTTGTTATACGGACGGCGGGCGAACGTACGCATACACACCGCTACTATCCAAATGGCACTCATAAATGAGACCTCCGCTGGCCGTTGCCGACGCGGTCAACCGCCGGCGACCACCTAGCCGTTTGGAACAATCTAATTCATCAGCATGATTGATCACTCCTATCAGGGATCGGATTTTCAACTCCGATAGTCCCTTTGTGACATCTTCCGGACACGGAACTTATTTGTCACGGCGGGACCCAGACTAGGCGGAAATAAACTTTTCGAGAATGAAGTAGATGCAGGTCGTTCGCTGTCCCATCAAATCAATCCCACCCGAAGAAATCGATTCACAACTGATAAGACAGTTCAGTGCTTTTGTGCGCACCAATGCACCATACAAATCATCTTACTCATTAAATGATGCATTTTCAGCACCGATTGTTCCGCGAAAATACACACATTGAAATGTTGGCCGGCCGCAATTCAAATTCAGATGCGACGGGGTGAAACGAGTGCAAAGCAATGAAAAACGTCACTAAAGAAGAAAGAGCAGCTGCTTTGTGAACTGAATGAAAGCGCAGTGGAGAATCGCGCGTGGTGTTCTTCAATGAACACAGAAAACTATACTATGAATAGAAGATACACCCATATAAAGACTATTCTTTGAAAATGGTAAAAATTTTAGCGAAACTCCCACATTAAACAGGAAAAGAAGTCAGATATGTGAAAACCTCTAGAATCTTATGAACGCCTCAGAGAAAAAGTTTGAGTAGGTGGAATAAGTGGCACTAGGAAAACTTAATAGCTCTTCTTTCAAGGCCTTAAATGAGGAATAAATTTCAAAGTCGGGTCACTTCCGAACTGAAAACTCATTTGAGTAGGAAAAACGTGTGTAAACATAAAGTCGGGAGTTCTTCTTAAAGAATACTAGTTGTTCCACCTGAACAACCTTTCATTCGTTCATAAATCATTCCGAGTTCAGATTTTAACGCCTAACATGCACGTAAAAAGAACGAGTCCCATTCATTTGTTTGAAAAGATGCAAACATAGTCCAACTCAAAAAAAAGCGACGAACCTCATCAGAGATAATAGTTGGAAAGAAGCAGTTATAGATTTTGAAAGAAAAACAAAGAAATAATGAGGAAAAAAACATCCACGCTCCGGTACGAGTTTTCCTGCGTAAAAACCTGCGCACAAACGGATGCCCTCGGCCGAAAACTATAGAAATTTGGAGCACACTTAAGTTTTCAACATGAAGGTCACAGTTAAATGAGGCTGTACGTTCTACGGAAAGCACCAAACTGCTCAAAAAGGCAAGTTCGTCAGGAAAACTCGCAAGGATTGTTGTTCAGATGAGAAGATGCTTACCTATTAAGGGATCGCCGTTCGGTCGAGATTCTAGCTCGGTCTCCAGAACAACATCCTTCTTATCCTCAGCCAACTGATGACTGGACTGAGCATTTGTTTCAAGATCTTCGGCGTCAGTTCGTCGAAATACTTTCACCTCATCGGCGCCCTCGTCTGCCATGACAAGACGGGGCAGGTCGTCGTTGGTCGTGTGGAGGATACAGACGGCGTCGTTGTTGATGTCAGGTGGCGTCGATGGATTCAGAAGACGTCTGCTTGCGTCACAAGATCGCACACCTTCTAATGATAGCAACGTTCATTGAGCGGCGGTAGTGATGGTGGCTGGCTGGCGGCCGCCTGCCAACTCTGCGTCTCTGCACCGGTGTTGCCGCCGAGTGCTCTGGGCGTCTGCACGCTGCACGCCACACCAAACTCGCCACCGCCGCCGCGTCGTCGCCAACCACGCCCACTTGGCTGCCGTCGGTCGGACACCTACAGTACCACCGTATCGCCGACACCTGCGGATCTAAGCGACGCGCACATGTCGGTTCAAATCGGAGCGACCTTGGGATTCGAATCGGACGTGCTTTGGCCATTGAAACTGGCGACGCTCGTGAAAGTTGACGAACGGCAGCGGTAGCGAGTTTTCGGAGCAGAGACGCGTGAGTTTATGCATAAACGAAACGAAATGCGATGACAACGAAACGCGAAAACGAGCATGAGCGAGATGAGGCGGTGACGATGGCTGTCCAGGTGAGTGCGAGAGAGAGAAAATGCGACTGATAGCGGTGACGGGATGAAAAAAACGAACTTGGTGGACGGGGCGCGATTGTCGTCGCGCGGCTGACGACAATGTCCTTGATGAACACAGAAGATGGACTGCCGTCGCCGCCGACGATCACAATGTTTCGCGAGGAACAACGGAAGACAAATAACCGCGCTATGAACTTTATTGGGCCAAAGAAGAGCTCGAGCTAATGGGTCCTTAAAAAAGGCTAGAGGGTGAGTCAAATGAGCGAAATCACCATGTGCTAACATCGTCGTGTCAGCGCCAAGGCGGCGATGGTCCGAGTGCGTGTGAGGTAGCCGCCGTCGCCCTCTTACCGACCTCCGTAGGTGCCTTCGAAGGTGAGCCATAAAAATGCATAGTCGCGGCGTCGTGGTCCCCCGTCAAAGACGCCGCCCCACAAAGAATAACAAGCAACTAGGAAAATGTTAGCACAGAAGGCCGGAATTAGCCGGGTGAGGACAAGTCTACGGAGCTGGACGATTATGAAAATACTAAGGCACGTATAGGGTTAAACAAAGCGTAAGGGAAGGTGAGCTGCTGGAGCCGTATGCTATACTTCCCCTGGTAGGGCAACAGAAGATCCTTTAGATTCACTTGTTTTAAGGGTAGGGATTTCAGCACATGCTTACTTTTACATACCTCACAGACTGACCCTTTCTTAGGGCAACGAAGAAAATTTGAAGGGATTTTGCTCCCTTGAGAGAAAGATAGCTAGCGAGCCATATAGCGAGTTGGGGAGGTACAAGCTTAACCAAAAAAGGGTTGTTTGGCACCCGTGTATTCCCTGATTCCCCACATTTTTCGTGTCATGTACCACTGTATCGGGATTAAAGAAAGAGGAAAGGTAACGCAATTTTAAAGGATTTTTGTTCAAAAATTGGAAATAGGAGTAATTTAGAGGTAACCAGAGCGTCCAAAAAATAAATGGTTTGGGTGTAGGTGAAATGTTTAGAATGAGTGAAGTGAGGAGTTGGAGATTCAGGTTTAGATAAATAGCAAGGATTTTTGAAATTTGGCTGGATTTGGCAACTCAAATGAACCGATAACTCAAAAAGCTACCGTATTCAGAAGGTCCACATGAAATGCGATAGAGTTTAATTGGCTTTTTTAGTGACTAACGTGTTCGAATGAAGTTTCCTTTTACAAATATTAGGTCTGTAGTAGTCCGTGGAAAAAATGAACATCATTTTTTGAACCCAACCTCTACCCCCCTCTCTCCTCCCTCCTTCGAAATCCAGTGCTACAAATGGAATACTTCGTACAGGTCATCAGAAGATAAACTTCTGTTTCCATCTGAAACTTGAATAAGTCGAATTGGGCTTGAAGATTATCCAAAAGTTGTCAGTTGTATGGCTAAGTCAAAGCTCAAGATTCAGCAAGCAGATGACTTCCTTGAGAGGCTTCTCAACCGATCGGCCTCTTCAACCCTCCCTAAACCAGAAAATCGTTTTCGAGGTTATCTTCTACAGATGAAGCTGAAGTACCTGAGATCTATTCCTGTGATCAGGGATTACTAGTTATCCTGCGTTATCAATGACATGAATCCACCACTCAACCGTAACCTAAAGATCCAAGTTGGTTGATAAATCCTCGAGAATCGGGGACTAACAACGGATTGGGAGTTCAACTCCGGGAAAATGATGGAAGACTTAGGACACGTATAGGGAAGAGAGGTTTCACCGTAACTTTACTAAAGTCACCTGAAGGTTCAAATATTCACCAGTAAATCGACAACACTGGGACGAAATTATTCAAATAACCAGCTCATATTTGAAAGTCAGGCTATATAGGATTCAGGTATGGGTGGGACAAACGCTAAAGAATAAGAAAAAGAAGCCTACATAGGCTCCAGTGAACGGTGGTTTTACTAGGCGTGTTAGGCATGCGCAAAAAAAGAAAAAAGGCATAAAAATGAATAGACATCATTTAGAGAAATTCCTCATGAAAAGCCGAGACAATTGTGAGAAAGCACAGTTCACAAAAAGTAATTTAAGAGGGAGAAAGAGGAAAAAGCAGCGATTCAAAGCCCGGCCGGCGTTCCTGTCAAAGAGTTACCGATGACGGAGGAGGGGGCGGGGCGTGGCTAAGGGTGAGTGGATCGGGGGAATGGAAGGTGTGGTGGTTCGGCTCCGCTCGGCCGTCGTCCGTCCATCCGTTCAGCTAAGAGGTCGTCCGTTGGCACAAAGGAGCGTCGCCGTAAGCGAACCTATACAGCTAATGACACTTGACATTACGCCCTTAGGTACGCGATCATATTGAGGCGATGAGAGCAGCGTATGGTTTGCTTGGGCACAATAACCATTTATGGAAAGGCTCTCGTCTAAGTATAGCCAATAAATCGATCCATTAAGATTGAGGGACCAGATGTGACCACAAAGGGACAAAGGGAACAACTCATTGAAAGATCGAATGGTGGCAGGATCCTTGGCAAAAAAATCCTGGCTATTTTGGCTGGATTATTGAAAATTTGATGGAAGCATGAACCAAAACTGAGTGGCAAACTAGACTAAGGGTTTCTGATCAAAGTTTGAGCGCTAGTCAGCTTAGCTTAACTGCAGGATATCCTATCACACTATGTAGCCCTGTGAGAAGTAACAATGCCAACATCTCCTCCTTTTCTGAAATAAAAAATATTGTCAACCAAAAATAGCATAGAGAGATGAGAGACGCAGAAATATAAATACCCTGTTTCTCGTGTGTTCTAGCTTTTCATCATTCGCTTGTTTCCTGTTGTTTGACAGAGATAGGCTGAAATTCCACTCCAGATTCCAGAAGTGTTGCACCCCTGCGATGGTTGGGATACGGTGGCTCAATGAACTTCTGGGCTAGGTTGGCGTGGGCCCAGATCATAGGACTTGACTAGCGTTTTAAGATTCTAGGGGTTGAGATAAATGAGTGAGCGAGGGTAGTAGGCTGCACTGTTCCGCTGGTTCTTCATGAAAACTCGATGGGTCTATGGGAGGGGTGCGTATGAATGGGGTCATATTACAAGCAAGGGGCATAACAGGTGGGTCTCCAGAAACGTCAAATTTTCTACGAGGAAGTGAATGAATGGAAGAAAGATATGACATTATTTTCTATTTGGGCATACAGATTGTCCTCTAAAATGTGCCTAAAGGATGTTTGGTGAATGCTACCAACGGTCCGCCCGTGCTCACTAGCCACTATTTATGCCGCAGGGTTACGATTCAGTTGAGCTAAAGCGATCCCCTAACTATTCGACTGATGTTTTCACACTCAATTCGCTCCAAAACACGGGGATCCTGGATTACTAGTCCCTCTGGAATAGACCCCTAAATAGTCGACGCCCCACGCTACGAAATGGTCGATAATAAGGCGCAGTGGAACGCGTCGAACGTTCCATAGAGCTGTAATCCGATATGCAGTCAAAGAAGGGCCACCGTAACTGATACCATAACAGATTCATCAACAGAAGCACCACGATGATGCCATGCAGTGCCACGCCAGACCGCCAAACCACTAAACGACGGTAAGCCAGAAAAGAAGAAAACACTTCGCTTAAACTGCTAACAGCAGTGTCTGAGTTAGTACTGTCTTACAAAATTGCTCACGGAGTAGGGCCCCTAACAGTTTTTTCTAACTTTGATTAACCCGCAGGATCAGCTACACGGCAACTACAGTATAGAACGCTTAGTTATTACGGATCATATTCCCAGGCCCCAAGAAAGCCAGAACCGGCAAAGGCTGACCAATAAATCGGTAGAAGTAACCTCGTGAGAAGGATGGATATCGCGTTTTCGTAAAATTTGGCAGGAACATCAGGTATAGAGAAAGAAAAGGCAAGTTCGGAGAGGTGGGAGCTCAAACGATTGCTGTGGTAGGGAGAGATTCGGCAGGGAGCTCAATTCTAATACTGGCAGTCCTTGGCAGCAACGCCTTCGCAATTGTAAAGGAGCGCATTTCCAGGTGATGGCACAAAGTTGCTTTGCCAGAGCCCCGACCAGGTGGCCAACAAAGTAATCGGTTGCATGGTTAATTAGTTGGTCCTCATCAGGTCAAAGACATCAGAATCGAAAAGGTGACAGGTGGAGCGCTTGGAGATAACCTAGACATCGGAAATAATCGAAACCATGACATGATCAAGGATAGAGGAAGTTGAGGCAGTTTAAGGGTCTGAGTAGTTCACTAAGGGTTCGTGACTGAGAGGAGCCCTTGAGTTCGGGACTACCTGATCGGAAACACCTCCGCGGCGGTTTGTAGTGAAGTAGAGCGACAAAAGACCGATAGACAGGCGTTGACCGGGGGCCATTTTAAATGACCAAACAGGGTCAAGTGAATGATGATACCTCGACGATTATACGCAGAGGAGCGCGATCGCTGTAGTATGTGGCAAAGGACGCGAAATTGCGGTCCATCGACGATCGTCGTCGGAAGACGAGGAGCGCGCGAATCGCTGCCAATTGTTCGACACACTAGTTCAGAGCACCAGATGAAATGAGACGGATTGTAATTACGATGATCCGGTCGCAGAAGAAGAAAGGAAGCAGAAGACAAATTAAGACTTTCGGGATCGGGACTGGAAACTCTGGACAGCAGCGCGTGGTTGGTTTGACCGGAGCATGACAAAACTCGCCGCCTGCTACCGGAATGGTTTGACCCATGGCCATGGCTAAATGAGGGTTGACGAGAGAAGTGACGAGATTGCGCAACACCACAAGTACCTGACCCCCTATGCGCTTGAGTGGACAGCGAAAGGATTATAGCATTACAAAACAACGAACGCATGTCACTGAGTCAAAACCGATCGATGGGGCGGAGCCACAGGTGGAATGGGCGGAGCTTCGCAGATGCTGCTTTGCTGCAATTCTGATATGAGAAGGTTCAAAAACATCAGTGGTCTCACTGAAATCGGAACCTCTGATGGTTACGGTATCATTACGCGGGAAATTGATCCGAATACGGTATATATTGGCAGTAAAACTTGTCGCCGATGGAATTCACACGCACGGGATGTGAACGTGCCTGTACATTAGCAATTTTGAATTTTCATCTAAATTTTGAATATTCTAGGCCTTACTCTGTCGCTATTTCTTCGAGACCAACTTTCTCAGTCTACTTCTGAACCTAGAAGTCGGCTAAGAGAACCCTAGGAAGACAAAGGCCACATTCAACAAATATATGATTCTCCGAAAATGGGATCTTTCAAACTTTCAGTAAAAGGTAGAAGGACATAGCCCTGATCCTAAAAATCGACATGAACCCTGCTCCCCTGCTATTTGGTTTACCCAATCAAGCTAGTGACGAAACCGTGGCCCATCGGCACGGTAAATCACTGAGAAAACACCGGCTGTCAGAACAAAGGATCGTAAAAACGGGCCAAATATGTAGAGGGACAGGCAACCATTGGGCTCTGTGGCCCATTGGTCCCTGAAAAGGCTATCTATAGCTAAGGCACTTGAAGATCTTTAAAAATCGACAATAACGTGCGTAATATATCCTCTCTGATTTCGCTCCAAAGATTTCGCCAAGTATTCGTCATGTCGAAACGAAAAATCGCCCCTATAAGAAGGTCCTGGTCCAGGTATAGGCGACACTAGGAGGTTAACCGAACATACTCCAACGGAGCCACAAGGGTTTTCTGCAAGTCAGTGAAGGCCGACAATATTTCTCTACATTTTTTAAGAATGGCGATTGAGCGCTAGAAAAGGGCGAAATGCTTTTGGGGCAGTCGTACTGAATACTACCCGGCAAAAGTCCAGGCCAACCTAAAGGATACTTACCAAAGCGCGATTAACCTCAGCGATGTCGTGGTTGAGGCAGTTGTGTCGAAAGGGCAAGCTCTTATCCTAGAGCATTTTAAGATGGCAACAAAGTAGATGGAAAGGATTGATTGATTGTTAAGCGATCTAACATAAATCCATATCGATCGATAAGGTACAGATCAAGCTGATGGAGCCCGAAGGAAGACTTTCCGGTCGTTGAGTATGTTACTCTCATAAATCGAGTTGGAAAGAGGGCGTTGAACGTCGAGTCCGTTTGAAGTGCTAACGATCCATCTCATCGGGTAAAGGACTCGGCCAGTTCATAAATAATGTTTTTACGGTTTTTTGGCCGAACCATCCACGACACTTCAGTTCGGCAAAAGAAACATTCGTTGAGCGGTTGGTTTGGAAAAGCGTTTTAAGATTTCCATATGAAAATGGACGAAATTCTTTTGCACTAACCTAAATTGGCTTGGTCGAAAACAGTGGAACGGTGATTGGCCAAAGCGCCTACTCTCTGCAGTAATAAACTCCATGACCTCTGTGTGAGGACGTCTAGACGAAGCCAGCCGAAAGGCAAACCAGTTGTTTCCCATAGCTGGCCGATTGCCAAACAATTCAAAATTTCAACCCCAGCTCTTATAAAAACTGTGGTAGGCAGGAGCAGGGCCGACGACAGAAAAAGTGGGAGCGAGACTGGCAGGGGCGGAGCAAAAAGAAGTCTCTCTGGCAGCCCGCGCCAAACTTTTAGAAAAAAAGGAAAGTTCCCTGAAAGATTGGAAGATGACGGGAAGGTACGGGAGCCTGATGGCTACATTCAGGAAATCATCAATGAAGAACGCACTGCATCCCGTTCAAAAGTGCACAAATTGTTTAATCTTCTATCGATTGCTAGTAAATTCGATTTCTGCCTTCATTTTGGACTGCAGACGGTCTGAAGTCAAACTCAAGCTATTTCAAATGTCATAGTTTAGTTCAGGAATCAAATTAAACTTGAATGATGTGGCGGAAATTTCAATGACTTCGAGAGTTGAAGCAAGTTCACCCCTCTTTTGAATCATCCTTTAGAATTTGGTACTAGTACTGGTTATTCTAAGGACAGAAAACATAGCGTAGCCAGCAGGGATCAATCTTTTGGATTGTGCCGGCGTAAACCTACACCAACAACCGCTGCGCTATTTCTATCAAGTATTGTAATTAGGTTTGGTTATGAGCAACTCTACAAGAATAAAAATAATAAAAAATTAAAATGGATCTAAGTCACAGTGTGGTCAGGGTCAGCGATTAGCTATTTTTCATCCAAATAAGAATAACCTCGATAGAAAAATCAGTAAAAACAATAAAAATAAGGAAACAAATAAATGTCTATGCGTAAAATCCGAAAAGTGGGACTTAAAGGAATCTTCCACGGAAAGAGTGATCATTTTGTCTTGTGTGTAGGATTAGTATTATCGAAACTAACGCTTATGTTCCGTTCTTTTTGCTATGCTCATGAGGCTAGGGGCCTAAAGGGGTCGTTTTTCTGTGGTAATGGAGGCGGAGCTTTTTCCGCGGAAGATTCCTTAAAGGCACAACCCAGGCAGAGGTTTTTTATAACTCTTCTCTTCGGTCAGAAGTATAGAACCCTAGGGGACAATCACAAATGTGGCGTTCACGTGCACGGAATTCGACCGACAAGAACGCTTTGGGCTTGCAAAGTAAGCTGCTCGAGCTGCAGCGAACGAGCTCTCTTATCAGGCCGTTGTCTGGTGCTCTCTCATCTGATGCGCTCTCTCGCCCCATACTCTCCTCTTCGCGCTTAGTCTCTCGTTCCTTTAGCACAGCCAATTAGGAAGGTGAGTGAGCCCTCAACCTGAGCGTTTTCGACGGATTCTTTTCCTTTTTTCTTCACTGCCGGCCCACTTGGCACCGATACATTCACATTCGTGTGCAAGAGCCACACCAGTGCGATCCTGGGGCATGCCTTTAAAGCAAGGATGAGCGCTTTCGTGTCCGGTTAACTTATTCTTTTTTTTGCCGATTTAATGTGGAATCTGACATAGAGTAGGGCTTTACGAATACTTCTTATAGGAATTACATAGTCGTTAAAATACTGCAATATTATGTTCTAGTTTGTCTTTTGCTTTTCATTTCTAGGGAAATATTAAGGCCATAGCTTCAGTGCAGCATAACCCGGAAGATGTCGCGCCTTTTGACAAGGTTTGAATCTGCCTAGGGCCGAGGGGTGTCCCCCAAGAGGCCCGTCACGCGGCTAAGGCATGTGCGACGAAGGACGAGTCGCAGCGCGTGCTGTCCGATATGAGACGTAGTATGGTACACTCTATTTAACCTGACGCCTAACCGCTACAGTATGCGCTGCGACTCGTCCTTTGCCGCGTCTGCGTCTCTTCCTTCGCCGCGCGACGGGCCTCTTGGGGGACACCCAGGGCCGAGCCTTCTGTCCGGGTGCGCACAAGCATTTGCAGATAAGCCTTTTTGAAATCGAGTCCCACAAATCATTACTGGAGCTAAGTATTCATTATGTGCATTCAGGCGCCCAAAGAACTCTGAATAAAGTTTGAGGGCGCGCGGCGCATTCCAAAGCGAACCATATTCAATCCACTAACAACCAGCGTTTATCCTTCAACATTCCTTGGCGGAACAGCACCGCTCCCTCCATGGGTCTCAGAAAATATCCTGGCTTTGAAAAAGGACTTTTGTTTGTAACAATTTGCACTAGAAGTGAAGACCTCCCCTGGTAGCTTTGAAAATTTGAATTCTACCAATTCAAAATGCGCTTTTACATTGTACTATAAGGACATTGAGATGTCAATAGAACTACCGCGCTTGGTAAGCCCCGATTAATGCTTTGCTGTGAATGCCGCGCAACGAGGAAACTACACGAAAACACCGATAAGCCGAGATTTTAAAACATTCCATATTGAGAAGCTGGTGGGGGAGAAAAGCTTGGTTTAAGCACAGACGGGTTAGAGACGGTTACTACCAAAGCTTTGAGGTTCGGATTCCAGGGTCAGATAGTGTGGCTAAATTCCTGGGCTAGACGACCCTTTCTCTTGGAAGGTCTTTCCCATGCAACCTCTCCTTCCTCCTGCCTCTGCTTTTCGAGCCATGTATGCATCCTCAAACTCCCAAAAAGTCTATCTCTGCTGGCAGGCGGGGGAGGGTTGCTTATACACAATAGTTGGCAATGATCAAATTCTCATCAACTTTGTAAATAATATTTCCGAATCCCAAATATTTCCGAATCCCTGGAACAACTTTCCCCTCCAAGAGCACTAAAACACCAACTCCTACCCGAAACAAGCTCTTCCTCTGATTCCTGGACTCCCCTTAAATTTTGGGGATGTCCAACCCTCTCTCCAGAAGGGATTTCCCATGCGATCTGTGACACTGGCTCAGCGATCCTCTGAAACCAAGCACAGTTTATAGCAGTGCTGGATGGGAGGTTGAGAATGCACATGTTCACAAAATTTCGTATAACCAGCATTCAATCAGATCTTCGATACTGAACGGCCATATCAGAGGTGTGGTGGCATTCCGAAGGGTG